GTTGTAGTAGTTGTAGTAGTAGTTGTAGTAGTAGTAGTAGTAGTAGTAGTAGTAGATCTAGGAGCTGTAGGAGTTGTTGGCGTTGTAGGAGTTGTGGTAGTAGGAGTTGTAGTAGGACCAAATACGCTTCTCCAAAATACGAATACCTGTAAATATATATATATATATAGGGACGTTATACTCAAGACTTGTGATGGTCCCGGAGTCCCGAGCTGCTCATGTTCTCTCTCATGCTTGACTTCGACTCAACGCTTGTGCGTTCGCAGTCTCGCGTGTTTCATTCATGTGCAAAACCGTCGGCACAGGGGCGTCATCATTACTTCAGGTTTGCGAGTTGCGACAGTTGCATGAAACAGACCCGCTACAACCTACATGAAGCTTTTGCAAGGACTTGCTTAATACCCACATTTTGCAGTCTGCTCAGATGACGGCTTAAGAAGCACGCGGCAGTTTCGGCGACAGCTAAGGGAGAGGACCGCGAGGCCGTCCACCACTTCAAGAAGTCCGTCAGGACCCCACAGTTCAACATCATAAATAAACAAGGCTTTGTCCGTCAGGACCAGGAGCACCTCAGACGGTAGCGACATCGCCACAGAACTAGAGTTGCTGTAGCCGTATATGCATGTTCACGGTCAACACACTCTTCAGTTTTGTACTTTGTCATGAACATTCGTGTACAAGTGACAGCTGGGGCGACGGCGAACCCTTTCAACATCTATGCCGTCATGACGGGCATAGAGAGAAACAAAGAAAGACAGAGAGAGGGAGACTTTGCAATAAGAGCACCCTCTCGAGTTCACCCCACCCCTTAAAGCCTGTGCTTTCATGAGTCCAGACAGCTACTGCACTCCACACAGTTGCGCCCAGAGGTAGGCCAATTCCCAAGTATTTCGCATTCCTGTGCCATTTACTAGTACCGGGTAAACCTCTTCCTGCTCAGCCTGATGCACGCAGGAAGATGTTCATGATGAACGCCATGGACCGGGCGGAGCGTGAACGTCAGGAACTTCGGGGCATTGACCGTGGCAGCGTTGCGCCCCAAGGACCGGCTCCCTGCCAGAAAGGAGGGTCGCAACATTCTTTACCGATTCTGAGTCCCTTTTTTTGGAAGCGTGCTCCTGAGTTTTGATAACTACAAGGAGTTGAAAGCGCATATAGATGCAACTGCATACACATACACATACACACACACACAGAGCCTACACCTACACCGAGTGAGTAGATAGATGTCTAGGGAACGTGCCCGGCTCGTGGAAAGGAGTGTGTAGGAAAGAAAGGCAAGGCCAGGGTTCATTTTCGGAGAAAGCTTCACACCAATAAACTTTTGCGAATCTCGGCGATGCTTTGATGCCTCCATGTGTTGGGCTGTCTCGAGCTTCAGGCCTAGGATTTGTTTCTGTCGTAGCCCCTGGCTGGCACTTGCTATTGCTACCGGTGATGTTTTGTTGAGCAGACCCTGCACCGAGTGTAGCTTGAAACACTGGAGTTGCTGGTATCCTCGCCGATAGCCTAGAGTCTAGAGTGTCTGAATTGCGAGTTGAAACCATGAACCCCCGAAGCCCTTAGACCGCCTCGGACGAAACAAAATATTCTCAGTGACGGCCGAGGCGTTTCACACTGCGCAGCGAGTCGCCACTGGGCCCCACTTCTTCTACGGTTTTGGGGCCCTCAGAGGTTTTGGGGGCCTTGGGAGGGCAGACTTCTCGACGCTTTAGGACGTGGGGCTCACATGATTGAGGGTGTAGGCTATCGGGGCTTAGGGATTCAGAGTTTCGGGGTTTGCAGCGTTTATACACTTCAGGCTTCCTTGAGACAAGTTAAGGGCGGACAAAAAGCAAGAATCAGACCCCCCGTAGCCCCCACGCAATGAGAGAAGCTGTACTACAATGGTTGATTACAAAATATTACAAAGGTAATTAAGAATCCCCAAACCCTGTTCAATACATGGGTCCCTTATTATGGCTAAGTTTGGCTAGACCCTCTGGATGCAACGGCAGAGAGAGAGGGAGAGGACTAAGTTGGTCCGCAAATAGCTGGGCACTGCAAGAGATCAGCAAGACATCTTCAAGAGTGTTGAGGTCCTGTTGCCACTGCTACTACTGCTGCTACTGCTGTTGCTCCTGCTACTGGTACTGAGTTCCCCTGTACCCAACCTTTAAACTCTTTGGGTTCTTATATCTGAAAGTTTAACCTTTTGTTTCCGTGGCTTATTGGGGAAGTAAGGCTACTACTTCCTCCTGCTCCTTCTCCTACTTGAATGTTGGCGTGCGGAATATCACTTTATAGATCGGAAGCTTTGATTATGTTGACGTTATCTACTGAGGCGCATCGGAAGCACCTGCATTCTCGAGAGAATCACGAGGAGACAGCCCAGGGACTTGGGCCCACAGACGACGGCCGCAGAGCTGAATATTTGGGAGCTTTGGTTGAGTGTTTTGGGGGCCCATGGCTGTGAAGCTTATGACGCCATGGCAGGCCCGAATAACGGTTGAGATGGTGAAACAGACCAGTGGTGAGTATGTCTCTGGCATCTCATGGCTGGTCGACTGCGACAACGTGGGGTGTGAGGGCCCATCGCTGACATGGGAATGCTTACTCGTTTCTTCGGAAGCTAGGTGTTTAGACTGCGCCTTCAAGGCCGCAACCCGAAGCACGTAGGACCCAAGACAGGCCTCCAGGCCCATCAATCGAACTATCCAGGATTTGCGCCGTCCTCCGGGTCAAGTACGCCCCACAGATCAGATCCTGGCGGCAAGGCCCCTGTCTCATGGTGTGATCCACGAAAGAAAGTAGCGAAAAACAGCAGTAGAAGCGGATAAAGTACCAAGAATCAGAACATGCGGGACGGACTTCAAGACTGGAAAGATCACAAGGATCCAGTTCGACCTGGGGCAATCGGGTTGAAGGCTTCAGTTGCAGAGTAGCAACCGACCTCAACTTTGATTAGAAGAGAGCGGCGCATACTGGCTTTAGGGGCTCCTTTCACTCAGGGTCCCGGCCGGGACGTGTGGCAGGATCGCGGCTTGGGCTTTTGGGATTCCAAACTTTCAACTTTCCCCACCCCAGGAAACCGCGTCTGGAATACTTCGCTGTGTACCAGCAGATTTGGGAATCACTGTTATTCAGGCTTTGCCAGCCGAGACAGTGTTATGGAAGGTGCAGAGAGGCACGATTCCTTTTGCCTTTACCTGTTCCGAAACCGTTAATCTATGAGCTGAACACTGCTAGAGGGAAGGCTGGCTGCACTGACCAGCGTGCCTCGACGTAAACAAGCAAGAAGCGACAGTACGTACAGAAGGATCATTTAGGACAGAGCCACCATGGGCGAATTCCTGCAGCGGAATTTCAAGTCCCGCCAAGGCCCAACCTGCAACTAAAGTCTAGTATAGTTTAGTATAGTATAGTACTAGTATAGTATAGTATAGTATAGTATAGTGTAGTACTGGTCAAGCTGCCAAGCTGTCCCAGGACAGGCCTGGTTCCACTGGAAGCAGCCTGGGGGTCGGGCGCTTCCACTCGGAGAGGTCCGAAGCAGAAGGGCCGGATTTGAAAAGGGTTCGAGGATCGGATGCTTTCCGTCTATGAGACGTCAAGGTGTCTCTGAGACTCCTAGAATCCGCAGTTCGCAGGAATAGGTGGCAATCCCCAATGCCAAGAGAAGAATTTTTGGACAGGAAGAAACTGCACCATGTACGAAAGTTTGGAGCTCTGGAATTGCAACAACAGATCTGCAAGCTACTTGTAGGCAAGAACTGGTATAATGCTCATGACGGGCAGCATGCAACAACTGTGCGCAGACGGTTTTGCCACAAAAGCTGGCTGGCATGCGCTGGTTGCACAGCTTCGACCATTGCTCTGTACCGGTTCTCCCTTACATCCACCCTCCCGGTATGGCTTCAATTCAAAAACGAGCAGGCCATGTGCGTTAAGCACGGGGGATCTTGCTGCCACAGGTCCGACAAGGCCGACGCAAGGAGCAGTCGTGCCGTGGTCGAAGAAGACTGCTTTGTGGGTTGATAAGCATCACCGCAGGAAATCTGCGGCTCAGTACCCATGAAAACCGATCATGGTATTCCAACGGAGTCGGTCAATCCCAGGACAAGTCTTGCTTCTCACAGCGCGAGTGCCCAAAGCCGAAACTAGCCTTTGGACTAAAGTTCGACTCAGCAGTGCGAGTTTGCAGCCTCCAAACCCGATGCACTTGTTTGTGAAGATGTGAGGGTGGTGTTCACGCATATGCATGCTTCCCTACATTCATACGAGAAGAGATGGAGACACTACCCCGGCTCGTAGTCCTTTCTAGTAATATTAATAATAATAACAATATTATATCTGCCCACACACACAAACATGCACACGCACACGTGCAAGCATGCACACAAACTCATTTGCATTCTGGGCACAGAAGAACTACATATGCGAATTAAACCTGAGCCGACAAACTAGAAAAAACCACCGCGTGCACACAGTGGTTAATGATAAAGCAGCTCAATCGATTGGAATATGCGCATGTTTTGTATCTGTATACCTTTAGAAGAATAAGTGTCAGAAGAGAAGTACACGGAAATGGGAGACTGTCACGTCACACACACACACACACTCAGGGGTGCCCACTGCTTCTGTTGGCTCTGACCGCTTCTCCAAGGCGAGGAACGGGGAGTGCTTACACAACCGCGTTCAGGATTACGCCTGTTGGCACTTGACACGTGATTGAGAAGTAGCAGCTCCAAAGATCTCGACGGCTGCTGATGTCGCTTGTGCTGCTGCTGCTGCTACTACTACTACTACTACTACTACTGCTACTGCTACTGCAACTGCAACTGCAACTGCAACTGCTACTACCACCACCACCACCACCCTCACCAGCACCAGCACCACCGCCACCGCCACCACCGCCACCACCACCACCACGGCGGCGGCGACGACGACTGCTACTACGACTACGACGACGACGACTACTAATAATAATCTATACATACCACTGCTACGACCAACTTCTGGTCGGACTCGAAGACCACCGGACTAACAAGCAGTGTTTGAATATGCTTCTCATGTTTTAGCATAATAACAGGCATATAATGAAACATTCATTTTCTGACAACACAATACTTAGTACAACTATTTCTGCTGGGCTTTGGGGGGGGTCGGTGCTAGTATGCTGGCTTCGACTTGCATCAACATCCTCACCGGACAGACCACTTTGACTATCGCTATGGCCGATGCAATCATCATTACTCTAGCTCTTCGTGGCGAAAGCACTGTGTACTGCAGGGCGACGGAGAAGGTTCACAGCCGCTGTCGCCACAGGGTGCACAGTCGCACAAGTCCTCCCAGGGCAAGGCATCCGACGCCTTTGGCAGCCCGGCCCGAAGCCGACTTGACCATGTATAAGTGCTCAATTGGATTGCCTTTGGCATCACTGCACCGACAGAACGGAGCCTGAACATCAGGCACATCATGCCATAAGGTATTTGAGCGCTTCTTTGCAGATACTTTGGTTGGCATGTACAGACACCCTGTGACAGCGGCAAAATCCCAAAACCAGGTAGCTCAGCCTCAAGTTCTGCTTACCCAGGATCCACACCACCTGACCTCTTGAACTCCATACACTGCGGAAGTAGTAAATGCCCAGAGCCCCATATACCAATCCTTCTTGCCATGATGCAAGTCCTAGGCTTCTTCAGCTCACTGGTGGAAGATGCCGCGCCTCACGATGCCTCCAGCCAGGATGCCTGCATGTGTGGATTTCGAGGGTAGGGTGACCAAGCTAAGACATGGTATCGCGAGCGCTACCGACATCAGCAACAGAATCTAGACCATCCGCGGCATCATCAGAATCATCACCCCTCATAATCAGCAGCGAGATCATCGTGGCCATCAGCCTATTGCCATGCCCAGCACTTTTTGTCTCACCACCGCCACCACCGCCACCGCCATTACCACCATCATCATTGCATCACCCGAACCGCAACAACCACTGCCATCACTAGCATAAACTCATAAGCATCACCACCGCCATCATCTTCGTGACCGAAGTCATTGTTGCCAGCGTTGTCAGCATCACCATCGCAAGAGTTCTGATGCCCGTATAGCAGCACAATCGTGATCAGCGGGTTTGCAACACATCCGTCCTCCGCCCTTCTAACGGTTCATGGTAGCGGAATGTCCGCCCTTGTTACATTTACAACCAGCCTTCGACCCGTGGCCACTATCTTCATCAGACCCATGTGACTGGCTTCACCGGCACCAACAACAGCAGCGCCATCATCGATACATTCAAGACACCAGCTCCGCAGAACCATCACCAACCAGACAACCACTCTCGTCATGACTCTAGGATCTTGATACGAGGGCAGTTCAAGGGGGGGGCATGCTAGTGATCCGTATAGGGAACCTTAAGAGAAGTCAGTGGATTATTTGGCTATATAAACTCCTTGCACCCCCCCTCCCTTAAGGATCCCATAACTTCTTCGCCATCGTTCCTATCCCTACGCCATCAAAAATCCTCGTGTACAGTGTACAGTCATCTTCAGCGGCGCTCTCAGGAGAAGCCTCCCACATATTGCCTGTTGCTTTCACTATCAGGATTGTTACCAACATGACCGTCTCAAACAGCAGTTGCACTTGGTGTTGTTGTGTCTGATAGGGCTTTTTTCATAGATTGGAAGTGAATGGTATGAGTCCAAAGCTTTCTCGGATGAAGGAGATGATCGAAAGACATTCACCTTGATTTCTGGACACTGCCTGAGCATGAGCGGCAAGTCTGCGCAGGACCGTCAAAGTACGAGTCGAGGAAGGGCGCGAATATCTGCGGAAGGTGCCGTGGATCACAGCAGGTGTGCATGAGAAATTTCTGAGAAGTTTCCGCTAGTCTTCCCGAGCAAACCTCGCTCGTGCGCATCGTCCTTACAGCCCGGCAATAGGGGAACATATGCCCAAATCTATACGAATTTATTTAAATTTGTTCGTAGATATATATATATATATAATTCATGTCCGTTTTCATGTTAATGATTCAGTGCTTTCTTTGGGGCGTCTATGTGCTGCAGTTGCGGTTGGCTTCAGAGGTTGGGTCTTCGCATGCAGGGCGCTGGAATTCGATGCGAACTTTGAATTCCAATGCTTTGACCTTCCTGCACCCACTCCTGAAGCCTCGTGAAGCCTCATTTGCGTCCCACATGCTGCACATATGCTGGAACCCAAAAAGCCGTGCCTAAAAGACTCTGAGGTATAAATCCGTAATTTTCAGAACCGTTCACCTTCAGACAACCTAGGAACCAACCCCAAAATCCAATCTTGTATTGTTGAGCACGAACTCCTGAACCTTTAAAGCCCTGAACCTTCAAAGCCCGTACTGCAGCGACGCCCAAAAGCCCGCAAACCCAAAGGAAACTTAAACCCATAAGACATCTAAAAAATCTGAAACCGCCTAATCCATGTTGCAGTTCGTTTCACTTCCCAGACCTTGAACCAC